CCGTGCCGAAAAAAAGTGGCAGCCATTTTTATGCTAATGAAGCGGGGGAGATTTAAATCCCTGTTTCATTAGCAATTGTGATACGTCTAATTTGCATCCCTTTTACGAAAAAGGGATGCAATCTAGACATAGCCAAGAGGAATAGGCAGTTAGTCATCCTTGCAGACGCTGTCCCTGAGGCCGTGCCCTCCTCTGTGAGCAGTAACCAACAGTCTGTAGAGCAGAAGAAGGGGATGTCCCGGGTGCAAGGCCATATGTGGCCTGCACAGCAGGCCCTGTTTCCCAGGGGCCCCGATATGCCCAGAGGACCATGATTCCCATCTACCCCTTCCCTCCCCTGCCCCTGGCCCATGCACAGGCAGCCAAGGGAAATATCCAGCCATAGTGGGATCCCCTCATGGGCAGCAGAGGAGCCAGGAGCAGCCTGGCCCTCCTCCCTGGGGTCTCCCCACAAAGGTGCGGGTCACAGTGCTGTGTGCAGGAGCAGGTGCTGCCCTCACATGTGCAGGCATGCACATGTGTTGTGTGCTGCACTTCTCTGTCTGCGTGGGGTCATGCCTGTGCCATTGTGGCTAGTCTGCTTCCAGCCGGCCCCTTCCCTGCACCCCATGGGAGGACATGTGTAGCCTTCCCTAAGCCTGGGTACAGGATCCCAGGCATGCTCCAGGGCTGCCTGCTGTGTCCATGTGCCTCATAGTAAGGCAGCACATGGTTCCATGTGCACAGACCACAGCATCCTGCGCGACACTCGCTCCCCTCCCCGTGTGTACCCACCTCCTACACTCTGTGTGTGAGACAAAGACCACTCACCTGAAGATCCCTCCCAGGTGTCCGTGGAAGACTGGGAGTCTTCTTCGCTTATGGGAACCAGCTTGAGGGAGAGGGTCACAGTGCCTGCCTCCAGCGTGACCGACTGGCCCTGGCCCTCCTGCTCCTCCTCTGGGGCGACCTCAGCTGGACAATGACAGGCGTCTCAACCACCAGGATGGGTGGGGAAGACCTTTCCCCATCCCCCAGGATCTGGTGCAGCTCCCTGTAGTAGGGGCAGGTGTGGGGTCCTGCCCCTGAGTGGGAGCTGCGCTCGGTGGCCCGAACATAGCCCTGGCAGAGCTCTTTCACTTTACTCTGGACCTGCTCCATGGTCGGGGTGAGTGTCCACGCTCCACCAGGGACGCGGCCATCCGGCCATAAATATCGGCATTCTGCCACTTGGCCCAGGGATCCTGGAGTGTCTCCTCCTCGCCCCACAGTTCGAGGAGGGACTGGATCTCCGGGCCAGACCATGATGGGGCATGCCTCTTGGACCCCCTCAATGGGTCCTCAGATGCCTGGGGCTGCTCCTGACGAGGGCCAGGCAGATTGCAGGGGGCTTCAGAGGTGGACATGGCTGTGGCAGGGAGAGCAGTGTGCTCAGGCTGCTGCTCTCTGTTGGACTTCCTGCCACAAGGCTTCTCTAGGGAACCTGCAGCTTTAAGAGGGGCCAGGAGATAGGAACTATAGAGTCCTGATTAATTTGGACAGAGTGGCCACCAGGACACCTGTGTTATTTCCTGGAGGCCTCTTCGCCTACGTCTAGACTGCAAGCCTCTTTCGAAAGAGAGCATCTAGACTGCAACCTCTTCTTTCGAAAAAGTGAGCCGCTTTTTCGAAAGAGAGCACCCAGGCAGTCTGGATGCTGTCTTTCAAAAAAGCCCTGTTTGCATTCAAGAACACCTTTTTTCGAAAGAGCACTTTCGAAAAAAGGTATTCTTCCTCATGAAATGAGGAGTACCACCATCGAAAGAAAAGTCGCGTTCTTTCGATTTAATTTCGAAAGAATGCGGCTGTAGTCTAGACGCAGGTGAAGTTTTTTCGAAAAAAGGCTACTTTTTTCAAAAAAATCCTGCAGTCTAGACACAGCCTTCTTGTGCAAAAAACCCCTCCTCCCCATCCACACACGCCTTTTTGCAAAAGAGTTCTTTCACAAAAAAGCTTCTTCCTTGTAGAATGAGGATTACCAATTGCGGGAAAAGCCCTCTGTTCTTTCAATTTACTTGCAAAAGAATACGCTTTCAGTGTGGACGTAACTCAGGTTTTGTCGGAAAAACGGCTGTGTGGCTGGAGGCTGCCTGGGAAGGTGCAGCAGCGTGGCCAGAAGAGGAGAGGTTCTGGACCTGTGGCTGCTGGCCTCTTGTCCCTTCTCCTCACAGTGTTGGGGTATGTGTGTGACCTTTCCTGTCACCTCTGCTCTAGACAGCCTAAAATCACACTTAAGGATAAGTCTGGCAGGTCCTGCATGAGTGCATAAAGGGAAAGGGGGCACAAGTGTCTTAGGTTAGCCACTGGCACCAGCCCCGGCCTTGGCCTTACTCCTTACCCTCGCAGCCCAGCACAGATGGGAAGGGAGTGTACGTTGCATCCTTTCAAGTGGGGGTAGAAGTATTGCTTCTGCACCACTATGCTCCTCTCCACCACATCTAGAAGAATCCATCAGCATTCCTCCTCAGGCTTCTTTGACACCAGTGTGATCTAGGGATTCTATTTCAAACCAAGATGGAAATAACATCTTTGAACAGCACAAAATAAATGTTATTTAAAAGTGAGAGGTAACTTTCTACACCCCTCTACAAGCCATAAGCTCTAATGATTATTACCTTACTTTAGACCAGTGGTCTTCAACCTTTTAAACCACAAGATCTTTTTCAATTTAAGTGCAATGTAAGATTTACTTCAAACCCAAACACCCTTGCCCTACTTCCTTCCTGCCCCTTCTTTGAGGCTCTGCCCCCTCCGCCCCTTCTCTGAGGCCTCATCCTGCTCACTCCATCCCCCTTCCTTCACAATCCTCAAAAGAACTCAATGGCAGGGTGGATGAAAGCATTGTTTTTCTGGGAAAATGTCCGTTTTTCTTGAAAAATGCTGCAGTGTAGACACGTCCAATCCCTGGGGCCAGGATCCTCAGGGAGGGGGAACTGAGGAAGGATGGGAAGATAGGAGCAGCTAAGTGGCTTTAGACAGACCCATCTGGTCCAGAGATGTCATGTACAATAGTTGTTGCAGCTTCAAGGACAGTGGTTTCATTCTCTTCATCACAGTTTGGAACATACAACATTTAATAAAAAACAACAATTGTCGGGGAAGCAGATTTTATTTATTGTATTTATCTCTACTGTACAAAGCACCAACTTTATTTTTGATTCTGTGTTAAGACTCCCAAATGGATACCACAAGACTAGGGGGATTAGGAATATCTTGCAGTTTGATCTACTGATAGTTCCAGACAACTCCCTTATCCTTATGTTTGTTATTTTGTCTTTGCATGAGCTGTGCAGTACCTTCCTCAGCCATCTGTAATGGGCAGCCTCCAGTGTCTTTTTGTTAACTACAGGCAGTCCCTGGGTTACGTACAAGATAGGGACTGTAGGTTTGTACTTAAGTCGGAACTGGCGTCCAGATTCAGCCGCTCCTGAAACTGACCAGTGGCTGACTACAGGAAGCCCGAGGCAGAGGTGGTCTGCCCCCGGCTTCCTGGCATCAGCGCTCATCAGTTTCAGCAGCAGCTGACTTGG